GATGGGGCGATTCATCTTAGTCTCTCCAAATTTCTTTCCCAATAATACCAGATGGGAGATGTGTCACGTTCCTACACTAGAAAAATTGTTGGATCACATTGTGAAAATGCGCGGTAACATCGCATGTCACATGCAATGTCACCTTGCATTTTCAAAATGCAATTGAATGTTTAGCTCTAGCAATTCAATCACATTTTGAAAATGCGAGGTGGCATTGCATGTGACATGCGATGTTACCACACATTTTCACAATGCGATCCAACAATTTTTCTAGTGTAGGAAAGTGAGACAACACAAATCCGGTATTTTTGGGTATTCAAATTCTGAGACAATAAGAATAAACGCCTGATACTGTCTTGTATCATCTCTGTTGCACCTTTGATTCCCTCTACTCAATCATCAAATTCAACCCCACAAATCTTCATCTCCTATCCTCAATCCTCAATCCTCATCAATTCAACCACCCTAATACCATCTTCTTTTCTTTCTTTAATATAACTTCTCACTGCTTCTCTTGCCAATTCCTTTGCTATGTCTGGTGAGGTTCAACTTGACAATCTTCTTCTCTTTCCCCTTAAACTTCTGACTAACTCTCTTTTTCATTTTTCCCTTATCTTTGTCCACTGCTTCTTGCTATTTCTCTTCACTTGCCTTTCTCATTCTCACTTTTTCTGCTCCCCAGCCTGTTTCTGTTGCAGAAAAATAGAACAGGAAGAATGTACAATAAGGGTCCGTACCATACGTTTCGGATTCTTTGGGAATCGATTCTCGCGCGAGTCAAAAAAGCGCTTTTTTTGTTTTTGATTTTTTGGACTTTAGAGAAATCGATTTGCCCAAAAGTGTGTACCATAGGACCCGCTTTTCACTCCTTGTTTAAAAGCGGGTTTCCATTCTTTACTCCCCATCCCACCAGTTCCTCTACTCCCCACCCAACCCAGTTTTCACTCGACATCAACTGCTGCCCATCGATTCCTAGACCGCTTGCTCCGGAAAAATGATGGACGAAGAAGTTCTTGTATGCCTTGCAGCAGCAGCAGCAGCAATCTATGTTGTCTCGAATTACTGGAATGAACACGAGTTTGAGGCCTACTACGGAGATGGCGGCAAAGCTCTTTATACTCAACTACTTTTGAACGCTCGACCAGATTTATTTAGGGAGATAGCTTGAATGGAACGGCCCACATTCGACAAGCTTGTTTCGGAGCTCTGTAGCTATGGGCTTCTGGAAGACGGCCGATCGGTATCAGTAGAAGAACAAGTGCTCATCTTTCTTGACATAGTCTGCCATAACAATGCAATGAGGCAAACGGCTGTCAAGTTTCGCCGTGGTCTTTACACTGTCAATAGGTCTGTTTTTATGCTTGATAGGATTGATTCTTCTTTTTTAACCTGTGCACTTTCTGATGCAAAACGATTTCATCCATCAGATACTTTGGCTTGGTTTTAGAAGCACTGGTGGCTCTTTACCCAATTTACGTCCGGTTTAACCTCGATTCGTGTGGGGGGTTGATAAGCGCACGCCAACCCCCATGGCGCACACCAATCTGCGCTTGGCGTGCAGATTGGCGTGCGCCATGGGGGTTTCACAATATCTCTAAAAACGCGAAGTATGCCGCATTCAAGAACTGTTTAGGGGCGCTCGATGGTGTCTTTGTTCCAGCCCGTGTTCCTCTAGACATGCAATGTAACTACCGCTCACGGAAAGGCATAATCTCCCAGAACATTCTTGCAGCGGTCAACTTCAACTTCGAGTTTGTCTATGTCCTTGCGGGTTGGGAAGGCAGTGCTCACGATACGCGTGTTTTTAACGATGCGACTTCAAGAGCTTTGAAGATCCCAGGCAACAAATATTTTCTGGCCGATGCGGGATACGGACTACGCAAGGGATTGATGACGCCTTACCGAGCTGTTCGATATCATCTTAAGGAACAGGCAACTGCAGGGCTCCGACCTGAGAATAAAAAGGAGCTGTACAACTTACGACATGCCACCCTTCGAAACATTGTTGAGAGGATTTTTGGGTGCATCAAGAAGAAATTCCCAATTCTTCAAGTTGCACCCGAAATCGAACTTAGAAAGCAGGTCCGATTAATATATGCTCTTGTGATGTTGTGGAACTTCATGCGAAAGCATGAAATGGTTGAGAAAATGTTTGACAACTACTCCAACGAAGACGCAGCGGCATATCGAGCAGAAGCAGCCGCCGAGGCTGATGATCCACTTCCAACAACTGCTCAAGAGGATACCTACATGAAATTCCGACGCAATCGATTGGCTGATAAACTCTGGGATCAATACAAGGCTTACAATCAGACCAGGAATCGATCTTCTTAGTAGTATATTGAGGTTGACACTATAGTTCTGCACTGTTTCCTTCCGATAGCTACCTCTTGTCTTTTTTTTTCAACTCAACTCAAATATATCTGCCTGCTTTTTGTTTCAACTCACATACATCTGCTGCTTTTTCCACCCTTGGGTCCAGTTGTTCTGAAAATCAGTTCGGACTATGTCATTAATCAATTTGAGTCACTTAATCAATTGAAGATTGTATTGTAAAGTGATCAATCCGTTCAAGTAGAACAAGCAACAAAGATTAACTGAAGAAAAAAACTGATCGATTGTGAGGCTGATCAATTGTGAGGCTTGAGGATCATTAACAAAGGATGAGGATTGATCTTAAGTGGTGAAAAGTGATTAAGAAAGAAATCCTAGACATTCTACATACAATGGTCAGCAGAAAAATAAGCGGCACAGGTTGGTTAATATGTAGTACTAGGTCCAGACATAAAAAAAGAAATCAATGCTTACCATCTTTGACACCTCCTTCTCAAGCCACATTTGGCATATCTTCTCCGATCAAGTACGAGCTAAAGTCGAGAAAGTCCGGGCCTTGTTTTCGTTTTCAAGGACTTTGATATACCCAATGTAGGTGTCGTCAGTTACCTTCTCCGAAAACATAGACGCACATTGCTCAAGTGCTTTCTCAGAGACAGTCTCCGAATTCAACTTCTCGGTGGCCTTTGAGGCTTCCTTCTCCTTCAAATCAGTGAGCCTGTCGATCGCACTCGAGATTCCGCCCAGGCTTGATTTGATTGCGTCGTTCTTTCCCTCTCGAGTTCGCTTAGCTGGGGGGGCTGAGGTTTCCGGATCATCAACATCAATGTCACTATTGTCTGGATCGATTATCATTGCAGCTCGTTTGGTGGTCTTAGAGGTCGAATTGCGCTTTGCACGGTTTACAGGGGTAATTTCAGCGACTGGAGTATCATTGAGATTGGGTACATCCTCTTCTTCAGCCATGTCTCCAGTAGCAAAAGTCCCACTGAAGACTTGGTGAGCCAGATCGTACAAAGGAAAAGGTTTATCCTGCAGCTTTCCGAATCCTCGGCGTGGATGAGATTTGATGAGCTCATCCCAGGTGGCCTTATCAGCAGTCGGAATTTGCTTCTCGGGGTCCCATCCAAAGCCGCTTTGATCGCGCAAGAACTTGTAGTCGACGTAAGTGTCCCGAAGCTTGTTTTTTGCGTTTTTAACTTGGTCGCGGTTAAGACTGAGCTCGAAACGGGTGTTGATGCGGTCCATGAGAGTCGTCCAGCCGATTTTGTTTAGATTTCCGTTATCGGTTGCCAAACCTTTGCTGATGCAATCAGCAATTCCTTCCAAGAGTTGTGCCTTCTGGTCGTGCGTCCATGAGTGAGGTGGGGTCTTGTCCTCCTTCTCATTCTTGTTCTTCTTCGCTGCTTTTGCGGCTGGCATTCTTGCTTTGGGGATGGGTTTGTTGGTAGTTGCTGGATTCTTGGGGGTAGGTGTGTTAGTTGAAGATGCTTCGGAGAAGTCACTAGTGAAGATAGCTGGATCGAGGAGCGCATCCATGAAGACAAGTGTTGGGAGGATACAAGGCAGGAGGGCAAGAATCGATTCACAAAGTTCAGAGAAACGGGGGTACCCCTGTTCCAGGAAACGCTCACTTTTGATGTAGAATCGATTCTTGTTTTTGACAAGAAATCGGGGGCTATGGTACACAAAATTGGCCCGAAATCGATTCTCAAGAAAAAAAAACCAAACTCGCGCAAGAATCGATTTCTCAGCCGCTATGGTACGGACCCTAAATGAATTCTTCTCTAATTCCTTAAAAGGGACACAATTAACCTTCTTGTTCAATCTTTATTCATCCACATTTTGGTCCCCCCCCCCCTAAAAATTCTGCATGCTCTCTGTGAGCCTGGGTCTCAATAGTGACAGCAGGACACAAGGTTTTGGGGGGCAATTTTATATGTATTTCTCAAGAGGAAGGAAATACAAATAAAAGCAGGAGAGAGGGAAAGAAGAGAAAGAATAGAAATGAATAATATTTTTGTTATTTATTTATTTTGTTATGATTATTTAGATTCTGACAGTCTTACTTCCTCTGAGGGTAGCTGTTATAAGCGGAGCTAACTCTACGCCTCCAAATCAAAGGAAACTGAAATGGGTTATTGACTCTGATAAATCAGGTCAACCACAATTTTTTAGATCAGGGATGATCAAGGTTCTTTAAAGGGAAACCTATGTAGTTTTCAGTTTTACTACCAAACAAGAAAGGAGAAGAATCTTTGAAGCTAGTGGAGCTTTGGTTGATGAGGGCTTTTGGTTTAGAGAAGGAAGAGAAAAAAAGGTGAGAGTGACAGAGAAAGAAACAAGCAGAAAGATGCTAGCTAGACTCAAAAGAAGTAACTTACTGATGACACCAATGACACTGAGTAGTGGGAAAGGCAGGAAAATTAAGGTTCTTCTGGTTGATAAGTGTAGGCTGGATCTGGTACTGGTTGTTGTGGTTCTGGGTGTGTCTGGAGTCTGAAAATCCTCTGGAAGCGGAATCAACAAGCTCAGAGAGGATTTTCAAAGTTGCATTATGTAATCAGGTATGTACATGTGGTAGAGGGAGCTGAAACCTAAGGGCTGGAGTAATTCTTGAAGTACTGTGAATTATTACAAAGTCAATGAAGGAATGGAGTTGAGTAAAAGTGATCAGTGGTGACTAGGGTTAATTTTACACCAGGAAAAAGGTAAAAAGTCTTAAGATAAAAAAGATAAGATAATATTTAGAATAGGAAAAGGTACTTTTGGCAGTCTTTTGGCCAGCTTGGCTGGCTCTAAGGCTGACACTCTCAAAATTACCAATTTATTTTGCTACAGGTTTCAGCAAAGCTCATATCACTGCTTGTAATTTCCAAGCCGTCATCAATTCAGATTATGGATAAGGGGGAACGAAGGCAGTATTAAATCAAATTTAAAATTCAGTTTTTATGATTGAGGTTTCAGTGAAATCTTCAATAATGATTGATTCAAGATGGTAAATAGTTGATATTGATGAGATATATTTTAGGAGGTATTGAAGAAGGATAGAGAGGGGGGACAAATCATCACCAAAATGAAGGGGAGGAGAAAGAATCTTCATAATTGATGATCTTTCACACTTCAAACCCTGAAATTTCAGGCTGGACTACTATTTCTAGCTTCAAAGCATCTACCTTTCTTGCTTTCTATTCACAGCCTGTGAAAAATATCTTCTTGATAAATTATATTGTCTTTACCTCCAAAAAAACTGGTAAAATGGTGGGTCCACTTCCAACAATGGTCCCAATGGGCTAATTTTATCTTATTCTATCTACATTAAAAACACTGGTGCTTACCATTACTATTCTCACTGGTGGGCCGGTTACAATAAATGTAGCATTGGTGTGGCACAAAACAGCAGAATTCCACAAAACTTTAGCATAGCATAGTGCAATTCTGCCATGTCCACACTAACAATTCACACACAGGCCCCCAAAACTGGCCTGCTAAGCTGCACTAATGCACTGGTTAGTGGCATTTTGTCCCTGTATCAGACCTAGCACAATGTGAAATAGAAAAAAGGCTTACATTTAACTAACACTAAATGATTCATGTGCAAAAAAGGCCACTATGCTAATGCTCTTTGGGAAAAAATTGCAGTGTAGTATAGTGGCCAATCCTTGCTATACTTATCCTGATCACAAATGATGCAGCATTTTCAGTTCCAATAGAAGATTTGATAACACCACAATAGCTGGATTCCACTGCTACACTGAGATATAGCATATATTTGTAGTATAGAAACCCATTGCTACCACTACACAGTCATCAGTGGCATTATATAACTGGGCAATACAAAAAGACAATTTCCATTCAATAGGGGGTATCAAACATAGGCAAATCCACCATTATTTAATTGACTGGTTTTGAAAAAACCATCATTTTTTAAACATGTTAGTTCTTGATCCTTTGGGGGCCTATTGGTGAAAATTTATTTTTTGGATAATTGACTGGTTTCTAAGGGGGTTGATAAGCACAAGCCAACCCCCCTTTCACACACCAATCTGCACGCCACTTGCAGATTGGTGTGCAGATTGGTGTGCGCAAGGGGGGTTTGCTTGCGCTTATCAACCCCCGGTTTCTAAAGGTGCATTTCATATATGTAAGATTATAGGCATCGGTGACATGGCTACAAACCACAAAGTGGCTAGGAAGCTGTCACAAGACTTAGCTGCGGATATCTGTAAGCATATGCATACATGATTGAAGCACCCACTGTCCTGTGTCGTAAACTGAAATTCAATCCTATTGATTACAGCAACGATCACAGCGAACAGGAGGAAGAAAAAACAGAGGACCGAACAGAAAGGAATAGAAAGTAACCAACCAGGTAAGCTTAACTAAACTAACTCTGGAGGTCTAAAAAGGAATAGAAAAACTTACAATAGGATTCTATATCTTCTCCTAGTTGCTAGCGACAGGAAAGAAAACAGAAGAATAACCAAAGCCCATCCAGCAGGAAAAGGCAACGGTAAGTCTAACTGCAAGAAGTGATCAGATTGAGCTACGACACTGAGGAAGCGCAAGCTGATTTCTCTTTTACATAGTGAAATCCAGCACGCTACTCGATCGTATTGGCTAAAGGAGGAAAGGATCATTCCTAAAGACAAACCAGTCAGAGTAAGAGATATTTGCTGAGTAGAGACCGATACAATGATCAGGGAGCTAATGTGACTGCAACCTTGCACACTATCATCTCATGAAGGAAAGAGTTCATCAACTCTATATTATTCTCATTGTTATCATTTCATCTATCTTGCTCTTCATCTCATTCTCTTCACTCCTGCTCCTAGGTTTGTTGCTGTTTATTCTTTCTCTTTTTCTTTTAGCTATACACTTGTGTCTAGTTTAATCTAATAAAATGAAATCTAGACTTTTGGATTCTTTCAATATATTACCCCCTAATTTTGGAAGTATTAAACTAATTTCAAAATCTCATATGCCTTGTTACACCCCTTGTAGTTTAGCTCAGTATTGCAGTGTTTAAAGACTTTTATCACAACACTACCCACAGAATAGAGATGGTTCCGGATATCCGTTATCCGCTGGCGGATACCCGCCAGTGCCAACGGATACCCGCCAGCGGGTGCAGATTCAGGTGCAGATTTCCCCTCACCCCTGAAATCCTGGCAGATATCCTGGTATCCCAAGGGATACCCGGTGCCAAGAGACTGAAAGAGAATGTATTTTCTTTACAAAAAAAAAGAAAAGAAAAACATTGGCCCACCTTGGCCTAGAGAGCAGAGGCCACACTGCCGGGAGGAATCCCTCCCGGCGAGCTGGTTTAAAATCCAGCTCTCCAGTAGGAACCCCTCCCAATGAGCTGGTTTAAAATCCAGCTGGCCGGGAGGAACCCCTCTCGGCGAGCTGGCAGCTGGCATGTAAATGCTCGTTGGGAGGGGTTCCTCCCGACGGTGTGGCCTCTGCCTCTCTAGGCCAAGGGGTGGGTATCCGCAGATACCGGCCAGCGCCAGCGGATGCAGATTCCTGATTCCGCTGAAATTGTCAGCAGATATCCGGATCAAAGCAACCATCTCTACCACAGAACCCATGAATTGAGGATTCTATGCTAGTGCTTTTTGAAGAAAATTCACAGCAGCCTGCAGGATATTCCAAATCTCTGACTCATTTTCAGCTTTCAAACCTATGGCAGTCTTCCCAAATCCTTATCTTCCTCCTTTATGTCACTTTTCATCACCCAGATAATTGATCTTCCCATCCTTTTTATCCATTGAAATTGCTTCCTGGCCTACACCATAATCACAATGTTATTGTTTTTTAATTTATTCTTTGGAAATCCTTAATCTTGTATTCTTTCTCACCAATTTTACAATTATCATTTTTTAAAGTCACTTATGTGAACCCATCAACACAGCCTCATGTTGACAACCACTAACTATTCACAATTTAATTTGAGAGTGTGATCATGTACAAGGATATGTTTTCAGCTATTAGCTAGTGTCAGCTCTGTGCATGCTACACTCGTTTAAATAATATAAAAACCAGGTGCTATCACTGTGCTGAAGGACTATCAAAGAAAAAGATTACTCTTTTTCACCCTTTATATGTGGTCCAAATTCCACAAAGGTTAAGTCCACACTCCTTTAAGCTTATTTGTTTCTAATGAACCAAATAACAGGAGATTATAACAATTAATAAATTGTTATAGTTTGGATTTTAAAGCAATAATAATTGCTAAGAAGCAGCGGGCAAGCACTTGAGCTGATTGGCGACTTGTCAGAGGTGGTAGTCTTGCAGCAACTGCTTTATAAGGAATTTTAGTGAGGGATGAAAGGGGAATTTCAAAGTTACACACTAATAATTCCAGTAGTAAAAGGATGATTGGGATTGGGATAACTACTCTGAGAGTAGGAGGAGAATATTCACTGTACTTACTAAGTATGCTGTGGGTGAATATGCTGAGGAACCAATCTTAGGCCAGGAATGGCCTCCTTTTATATTCTAGAGTCCCCCTTGGGGGCATTCTTAGAATATTC